TCTATATAATTATGAACTTGATTAATCAAGTAAGATCATTTTAACATTTGCATCTTCAAGCTGAAGCCCCGGTTTGCGCAAAATGTAACAGTCAGGAGAAGGGAACATCAAAATCCATGGATGAATTTAGGAATAGTTCTGAATCTGTGGACCAAAAAATCTTCAGTTTTCTGCTAGAAATCTGTGGATTAAGAGGAATTTTATTTTTCATGTATTCAAAAATAAGCTATATCGGAGGAGAATTATGCTTTTCCTTACAAACTGAGAGATTTAAAGAAGTTTTTTAAGGGTGAATGGGCAAATGTAAAATGTGGCTTTCTGAATAAATCTGGTAAAGGGTAAATGTCACATAAATGAAAAAAATTGTTGAAATGATTTTCCTGGTTTTGTTTATTTGCATACCAAACACTTATATTTTACCAGAACTGTGCAGACTCACTCTTCTGAATCTGACTACATGATTGGATTACACTGCGATGAACTGGACTGGTTTGAACTGAATTAGAAAATTTTCGGACTTAAACTGGAGACAAAAATTTAAAAAAGATCCGGTTGGTTTCAGATATTTGGGAAAGTCCAGTTCAACATGAGAAAGTGCCATCTTGGTGTTCCCCATACTGAGGCCTGTATTACTTTCCAAATGCTGGAATTTTCACTTTTCATGATCAGAGTTCATCTGGAGGTAATGATATTGTTTTCTCCGTCTCCTGGCAGCGTGCCTGGCTGGTTTCTATGGGCCGGGATGTAACCGAACCTGTGGCTGTCGCAACGGCGGCATCTGCCACCCAGCCGGTGGCCAGTGCTCATGTATGCCCGGCTGGACCGGACCCAACTGCACAGAAGGTGAGCTTGTGCCGTCGAGAGAATCGATCATCCGCAATATAGGTGAAGAAGAGGTCACGCCAGAGAGTTTGTGTCTGATTTTCTCCCAGAATGCCCGGCTGGGTTTTATGGGGCAGACTGTCAGCAGGTCTGCTTGTGCCAGAATGGAGCCACCTGCAACAAAACCGATGGAAAATGTTCATGTCCAGCTGGATGGACGGGTACGGCCTGCGAACTGGGTAGGTAGCACTTCACCACATTAAAATGCAAGACGATATGAGGATTAACTCTACATAATTTTCTATTTCTGGAATCAGTGATCCCTAACAACAACATCCCGCGCAGGCTGATATTTGCAGGAATATGGAAGACACTTATATTACAGGAAAATCTAGTGAGGTTTAGCCAGTTTATGTAAACTATTTTATTTGAAGTTTGACAAAGTAAATATTACCCTCCATAATGGTTGACAACCCTGATAAAAAAAAAATAGATGCATTTTTAATGAAGTTAAAAACATTTCCCACTGAGAAGTTTAAAAAAGTATATATATCAAAGGATATTTATTCAATAGGATAAACATCTGGTTAAGAAATAAATGTTTTTACAACTTGGGTTATACAGTTATATTCATATTTAATATTTAACCATATTTAAACAGTTAATTTACGTCTTGAATTTAATTTAAGTGTCTAGGAATCTTCATTGCTAACAAATAACTTCCTGTTTTCTGAGGGTATAAATGTGACACTTTTTTCGGTGCTCTTCAAAATGGGAAAGACAGGAGAAAATGCCATTCCAGTGAGACAGCCTGGGATGCTTATAGAAGCATCCCTGCTCTGGTGACTGGAGTTTCAAACACCTGGAAAGGATTCCTGTTTGCTCAAGTCATAATGATGGGGGAGAGAAACGAAGAAAAACATCAGAGACCCTGAAGAAAACATTCAACGTGATGCTTTGGGGTTCATTTCTTTCTTTCTTTTTTTATTTCACTCTTCTTTAAAGTTTAATTTGTGGCCTGAGCTCATTTATTTCTGCTTGAAGTCTGGTTATTTGCTGGCAGCGAGTGTGTTTCTGTGTCGACCCGGTGATGACATTCTGGCTACTTCTTCCTCTGAGCTCTCCTTCACACTCTATCCTCCCTCAGTGACTGTTACAACCTCTCGCTGTCGGGCTGTGCCAGGACCCCCCTCCTCCTCCTGCTGCACAGGAAACCTCTAATCTTGTCGCAGGAATGTCTCTAAACTCTGTGCCCTGTGAGGTTCAATTAGAAAGAGTTGGAAGGGGTGAAAAAAAAAGGCGTGTTGCACTGCTAATCAGACGGTGTTTCTGTGAAATGCCTCGCCCTCATGTCTCTGTCTGTCTGTCTGTGCATGGACAGAGTGCACGGCGGGCCGTTTCGGGGCCGACTGCCAGCAGCGGTGTGAATGTGAGAACGGCGGCGTGTGCGACAGCCAGGCCGGCCGGTGCAGCTGCAGCGCCGGCTGGGTCGGAGAGCGCTGTGAGAAAGGTGGGTCACTCAGGCTGAACGGCAGAAACGATGACCTCATGTGAACCGCAGCAGCGTGGAGAAACTAAGCTCACATGACGCCGATTCTGCGTGTTTTTGTTAATCATAACATGTAAATCTCACCTTCCTGTGAGCAGCGTGTGAAGCAGGCCTGCACGGGGCTGGCTGCACTGAGCGCTGCCGCTGTGCGCACGGGGTTTCCTGTCATCACGTGACCGGGGAGTGCCGATGTTCTCCAGGCTGGAGGGGAAAGCTCTGTGACAAAGGTACTAATGTTGGAGTTTAAAGAGATAAAGGCCCAATTTCAAGGCAACAAATTTTGTAGTCAAATTTCTTTTAACTCATATTTGTTGTTATTAATATCATTTTCACACCAACTGAAGTTATGGTTCGTTGTGCTATAAATACCACTATGTGATTGGAAAACACATAACACTGAGGATCTGCACAGAAACAAATACCATAAAATCTTTATGAATTGAAGCAATGCTGTAAAAATGAACTGGCCTGAATTTCACCACAGCAACGTCAGAAACTGAAAACACACTACTTCAAGTTATTGCTGCTTTGGGCGGCTCTGAAGGCCATTACATCAATGCCTGTGCATAAATTCTCCTCTCACTGTATTGACAGGTATGGCTATCTGCTCTGTTCTGTCAGGTTTGAGTTACAGGTGAGAAAATATCCGACAAATCTCAGAGCTACAGAAATGAAAAAAAAAAAAAACTAAAACAAAGAATTATCATTAAATTTAGATTAAAACTAAATTCATGATAATTGGAAACCACAATAAACAAGAAAAATAATGAAATCAAAATAACTATTGACAGTGTTGATTTAGAACGAATTCATGAGGTCAAATTTTTGGGTGTCATGTTGGATGATAAATTTAGCTGGAAACCAGAGACCTGCCAAGTGGAATCAAAACTAGCCAAAAGTGTTGCTGTCGTCAGGGGGGAAAGAAGCGTTCTGGACTACAAATCTTTATTTTGGATAATGCTCTCATTACCACATCTGATATGTACTTAATACAAAAAAATAAAAATAAAAAAATCAATTTGAATACTGCATAAAGGGGAATATTGAAAACATACAACCCCATTGTTTTTTTTGTTGTTTTTTTTTTAAATCAAATGTACTCAAATTCTGGAACCTTGTAAAATTTAAAACTGTACAATTGATGTTAAAAGTAAGAAATCATCAACTTCCACACAATATGTAAAACTTGTTTTGAGACAGAGAGGAGGGTTATAATTTAAGAGGAGAAGGAAATTAAAAAAAAGTATTAGAACAACCAAAAGAGTTTTTGTGTATCAGTGTGTGGGGTAGATTTATGGAATGGATTAAATGATGAGTTTAAACAAAGTACAACGGCTTAAAAAACTGTTTCAGAAGGAGCTTACTGGGAAATATGCTATTGATAATATTAAAAAGTTGTAAGTAATTATACATTTAAGGATGAGAATGTGAGATTTAAGTGTCAAACAACATGGGAATAATTTAAGAGTTAATCTGGAGCGAGTATGAGAGGGGCAGGAAATCATAAGATCTCGTATCTTCTACCTGATCCTTTTCGAATAAATAATGCAAAATCTCCATAGGCATGATTGTTAGCTTTATTTTTTCTTGTTTTTACTTTTTGTGTGTTTGAAATAAATAAATAAATAAATAAATAAATAACTCTGGGAAGAATTACATCTGCATGTAAAGTCTACCGAAAGCTGGGAAGAGTATTTGGTTCAGATTTCCTTTAGATTTCAAGCTGTGCTTTTGCTCTCACTCTCTCCTTTTCCTCCAGCATGTTTGCCCGGTACATTCGGTGAAGGCTGCATGCAGCGCTGCAGCTGCGCACAGGAAACTTCCTGCCACCACATCTCTGGAGAGTGCGGCTGTCCTCCTGGATTTACCGGCAACGGCTGTGAACAGAGTGAGTCCTGCAGCAGTAATTTGTGTCTCCTGAATCTCCTGCTGCTTTCCTAAGCTTAGAATAAGAAGCAGCTTCTTCTTCTTCTTCTTCTTCTTCTTCTTCTTCTTCTTCTTCTTCTTCTTCTTCTTCTTCTTCTGTGTTGTGTTACTAACTTCATCACCAGTTCAGGGAAAGCAGGAAGCAAAAACCATCGGCTCACAGAAGACAAGTGAACCTCTCCCTGTCAGCTTGTATTCCAGGATTGTTTGGGCCAAACTGTAACCAGGTCTGTCAGTGCTCAGAGACGAACCAGCTCTGCCACCCGGTGTCTGGATCCTGTTACTGCGCCCCAGGTTTCCATGGCTCCAAATGTGACCAAAGTAGGAGAAGCAATGAGCTTAAGGAAACAGAAAGTTACATTATCCAGGTTCTAACCGGGTTGAGTGTGTTTTCAGGCTGTGAAGAGGGTCGTTATGGTCCCGACTGTCAGAAAGAGTGTCGGTGTGAAAACGGAGGAAGGTGTGTTCCTTCAACTGGAAGCTGTGAATGTCCAGCTGGGTTCATCGGCCCGAGCTGCAACATCAGTGAGTTCATACCAAACCTTAATGAGGCACCAGTTAAAATACAAGTATTCATACTTTCATAAAATCTTGTTCTGCTGCTGTCTGGCCCAGGGCTCTCTTGAATGAGATTTTTAATCTCAATTAGTTTTTTCCTAGTTAAATTAGGGCTAAAAAAAAATAAAGAAATTAAACACCCCTTAAGTTTTTTTCACATTTTGTCATAATACCTCCACAAACACCAACGCAATAATGATTTGTTTTTATTGGGGACACTCCTCTGATCTGAAGGCCTCAAGTGCAATAGAAATTTCTTTTTGGTTAATGTTGCTTTTAGCCTTCACTCTGACTTGACTTGTCACTTTTGATCTTATCTTAATTGTGCGGTGGAAATGGTTTTTATCCCCAACAGAAACTTTTCTCATAAGAATCAGAAAAGTGTGATTTGCATGTGTATTCAACCCACAAAATAAAGTCCAGTGAAGATCATAAGAGTTCTCATTAGTCAACATTTGTGTAATTTCATTTTAGCAAACTCTGTAAACATGGGAGACTATGCTCTGATTGGATGAGACGAAACATTGAGCTTTCTGACCCACATGCAAAAAGCTATACATGTTGAAAAGTAGCATATAAGATCAGCTGAACTCCCACTGGGAAACATGGAGCTGAGTACATAAATAACCGCGTGTTTGTCTGGTGACAGCGTGTCCAGTCGGGCGCTATGGCGTCGACTGCAACCGTTTGGCTGTGTGTGGAGACGGAGCCCAGAACGACCCCATCACAGGTCGATGTGTGTGCATCCCTGGACGCAGAGGAGAGGACTGTGGACAAAGTGAGCTGATACATTTCTGTCTCATTATATCTGACTCAAGGGTTTTCCCTTGTTGCATTTGTCTTCTGCCTTTTTCATCATCTTCCTCTCCACCTCTGTGGATCCTTCCTTCAGTATAATTTGAGTGTGTGTGTTTGGCCTCAGGCTGCCCTCTCGGCTGGTTTGGGGGAGATTGCACTCAGCGCTGTAACTGCAGTAACGGAGGGTTGTGCGACTCTGCGACGGGCAACTGCACCTGCGGTCTGGGCTGTACTGGGAAACGCTGCGACATCGGTAGCGGATTTTATGACCGCTTCCGTTCAATAATAGATAAGAAATGCATGCGCAGAGCGCCGAGTCTTAATGCTGCACAGTGTGAAGTCATGGGGCTGATATTTTGTCCCGTTTGTCTTGTGCCAGAGTGTCCCGTGGGCCGATTCGGTGCAAACTGTCAGCTGAAATGTAGCTGTCAAAATAACGGCTCTTGTGACAAAGTGACGGGAACGTGTCAGTGCGGATCGGGCTACTATGGACATCTGTGTGAACACGGTGAGAACCGAACAGACAGGCACACATAAAGAAGGGTGAAAATGTCCTGAGGGATAAATCTGATGGGTTTTTTGTTTGTTTTTTTTAGCTGCAAATCCCTTTCAGAACGGTGATTTAAATCTCCTGTTTCTTTCCATAAACCTTTGTGTTCCACATCACTGTGAGGAAAAGGCCTCCACTGTGTAGACTACAGTGAGTCGCATGTTTCCACACGCTGACGTGTGCTTTGATTAAAATAAACATGGACTCTTCTACTGCAACATCCTGCTGCCGTAGTCACTTTTCAGGCATGTTTTATTCAACTCTATGTTCATTTGCTGAACCGTAGGGTCCAGGTTCTAAAAACAGTCGGTAAACACTGACTGATTCCAGCAACCTAAAGTTGATCAGACTTCAACAAAACCTGCACAGATTCATATAAGTTTGAAATATCAACCAAAGCAAGTGCATGTGTGCTCAGGGCAAACTCCATCAAGCTGATATCTTTTGATTGTCCTCCCCTTCAGCCTGCCCTCCTGGTTTCCACGGTCCGCTGTGTCAGCTGCAGTGTGACTGCATGAACGGCGCCACCTGTCACCCCGTGTCGGGCCACTGCATCTGTCCTCCAGGACATCATGGAGCCCGCTGCCACAGAGGTCGGTCAAAGCTGTTTGTTCACACCGAATAGTAGGAATAATTTTAGTCTTTGAATCACATCCTTAACTTCGTTCTCAAGCATGTGAGCTGGGGAGGTACGGTCAAGGCTGCGTCGGGGTGTGTGACTGCGAAGACGGCTCCCCGTGCGATCCTGTAACCGGAAGATGCATCTGTCCCTCCGGGAAGACAGGCGCCAGATGTGATATTGGTAATCTTTAGTTCTTTATCCACACATTACCTCCGAAAACGGGAAATAAAAAAGAAACATGCACTTGCTTTCATAACATCAGATAATCTTGCTTTGGGCTCAGAGAATCTCATGCTGGATGCGGTTTTAATTGGATTATGCAAGAAACTAGGAGACTTGAGTTCATTTCAAAAACAGGTGAAAACGTTGAGCTTTAAAAGCTGAGACTTCCGGATCTCAACCTACTTTTAACCAACAGGATGAAATGAAATATAACATTTTGTCTATTTTATTTTTATGAAACAGCATGACTAAACAATAATAATTAGCTACTTTTAAACAAACATGGAGATGTCTGAGGTCTAAACGTGTGACACATTTCTCTTTACTCGAAGTGGGAAAAACGAAGCCAATACATTTCACAACAACTCAAGTTCAGAACTGACAGGAAGTCTTCAGAAGTCCGTCCGACTACAACACACTGGCTTTCTTATTCTTGCACCAAACGAAGAGAAAGATTTGCCCAGATGGTGAATCAAGAGAAAACAGGAGGGACAACATGAAGGTTAAAGTTCTGGGAGAGACTTTGTACTTGTGAACTGTATTGACCTTTAATATTCTCCTGCTATGGTTGTTGGACATGCTGACATCATCACGTCAGCATGCATAGATGGCAGTCTGACAATGAACTACAGCTGGAATTGTTGATGGGAAGCAATTCTGACAGCTTGAGTTGTTGCATCTGAAGGCTGATGCAGAGACACGAGGTATTTCTCTGTTCGCATAAATTTAAGTGTGGAAAATAAAATAAAGATGACTAATCTTTAGTTTTAACGATGATTCTCAATTAAAGATGCTGTACTTATTTAATATGTACAGAATTTTTATTACTGAAAGTAACATAGATACGTAATTATGCAATAAAATGGCATAATGTGCCTGGAAAATACATAATACTGCCCTATAACTGATTATTTTTATTATTGTTATTTTCAATAATGTTATTAAAATTGCTTAAGTATGTTTTTTTTTCCCCCAAGGTCAGAAACCTAAGTTAAATCTTTTAAAAGAAAAATTAAATGTGAGGGTAAAACTCAGTAACACCGCTTTGCGTATAAAGGCTGGTCCTAGAAATGGGTAAAAATGCTTAGAGAAGGTTTGACTTGCATTGGACCTTTAACCTGACCAGCCTGCTGTTAGCCTTTACATCACATGTGTCAAACTCAAGGCTCGCGGGCCATATGTGGCCCGCCATGTCATTTTATGTGGCCCACCACAGCATTTTATAGGCCGATGATTGAGTTAAAATAGGTTTTGAGCACGAATTGACTACAAACTACATCTCCCATAATGCATTCTGATTACCAGCCAACATTACGGCTTCTCGCCACTAGAGAGCAGCAGAGTAACCTCAAGCTGCTTATTGATTTTCCCAGCGAATAAAACTGAGACATCGACAAGCTAACATCAAAACGTCCAAGAAAAGAAAAATCGATTTACAAGTAAGACTGTGAATGAAGATGTGTGTGAGTTGGTGGCAGGTCGCGCTAGACTTTTTTTGTTATCCGTTATCTTGACCGACAACATAAAAAAAAAATCGGTCCTGTACTATTTTTATCCGTGAAATTACAATCATATTAACATCAACTATTTAGTTGCATTTTATGCGGTTTAGTTAATATTCACCGTGAATCCAGATCCCATCACAAATTAAGCAGATAAATGCATCTACATTTTCTCGTAGTGACAAAAACCACTGACTGGCCCCAATAACTTTTAATAAATTAAACTAAGCGACTTCACTTAAATTAGCATCACTTCACCCGCTGGGGTCTGAACCTCCTGGTTCCCATCTGCAGAAAAATCTGCGCTAATTCATCAGTCAGTTGCATCTGTCTGATCCAAACAGATCAACTGAACTCTGTGAGTGTTTTACCCTGTGCGGTCCCGTGTGCGCTTTTACCAGGATTATTTATTTATTTATTTATTTATTTATTTATTTATTTATTTATTTATTTATTTATTCCGTGGTTTCGCTTCTCCGAAACGGACAGATGTTACGTCTGCAGCTCCTCCAGAGCGCCGCTGTCCTGGGTAACGTGAACCCAGAAGGCTCCATTTGTTAAATCCGCTGGATGAGTTACTTCC